TCCTCATTTGTCATCCAGAGATCAAGGAGAAAATTGTTGATCTTTTCGCGCAAATTAAAGCAAGAAGAATGGATTTCATTTTTAAATAAATAAATATAGATTGAACTGTAACAGTTTAGGTTAAAGTAATTAAGAAATGTTTAATTTTTTTCTCGTAAGCTTTCAGGATGTTTCAAAATAAAGTTTCTTTTTATACATGTTTGTTTCCTTTTACACAATCTTAAAACAAAGGTTAAACGTTTTTAGAACAGCACCCCCCACTAATTTTATCTACGAGCTGCCACTGGGCTTAAGAATTGCTGACATGTTCTTCAAAATTCAGAATATGTTTTGCATCGCTATGTACCTGCGACAATCCTGTCTGTTAGTAAATTTCCTGTAGTACATGCAATGAGACTAAGCATTAAAATGTTCTTTGTAGCAATCTATGTTATTCCCAGTCCACATTAACTTAAGTAATGTAGGTTCAACTGCAGTTGCAATTATATCATATGTACTGTCTGTGTATGAGAACTGGCGGGTGGCAGTCACTATAGCAACAGGGCTAGTATATTTCATATAGGGGCAAAACAAGAGTTGCTTTATTGTTATTTTGTTTTTGGCAACTGTTGCAGAGGGGAAAAGAATTATCATTTGTCTTCAAGACATCTGTATGGTAAATGGGTCAAGGCTCGTTTCTATGGCAACAGACAGCTGCAGACTAACTGGCGAGAGCTTTTGTTATGATAGACAGACTTTATGTTGATTAAATAATAAAGAATCTGCATGAATGTATGTATATTTCTCGCATTGTGAAAAAACAACACTACCTAGAGCCATCAAATTTTCCATAACTTAGTCCTCCACTCAAATATAGGTACCTGGAAGCCCAAATCTAGAATTTTGGATTTGGTTTATTATCTGTTTAATATTTTTTAAACTTTAACAAATTTTTGATTAAGAAACTCAACAATATGAAAGCGAGTAGTGGCAACAAGAAAGAAAAAGAATGAAAGAAAAAAAATGTCTGAGTTCAATATGTTTGTTGTACTCTGAAGTAACATGGTTTTTTTAACTAAAGAAATGTCACCCTGAATGTTCTCCCACAATTTCTTGCCAAAAATTTTGGAATCACAACACTTCCTTTTGGCTGCATGATGCAATTAGAGGTATTTGGCGTCAGTTGTTTGCAATGCAGTAATCTGTTGCTTCTTACTGCTCCACGAAACAGCTCCACCTGCTAGTAATTAAACATAGCCACTAAATGATCGTCTATACAGAACACTTCCGATCCTTTCTAGTCATTTGAAAAGTCAGTTTTAATTCTGTGGGCTGTTTCAGGTAACAAAGAATATGTTGTATGCCAGTCCTATGTTTATTGCTTGGACAATTAGTGAACTTGCTTATCTAAGTAGTAGCAAAAGCTAAATCAGGCCTTGTTTCTTCTGCCAGGTACAAAAGTCCTCCAACAGCCTTCCTATATTTTAGTGCTCCTTCAGCACCCAACATGTTGTCCTTAACAGCTGGTGTATATTTCATACATGGGTCTAATACATACTTTCATACATGGTCTTTCATACATGGCTCTTTCATATATGCTGTTGAAGCTACTTTAGCATCTAGCATATCAGTTGTTTCCAAGAGCTCACTAGCAAAGACACTTTGATCGACATTTATTGCACCATCTTCCTATCTACTTATCCTAACTACTGAAAGAAAGTGATGTATCTGGTTGTAATGAAAGTTTTCCACCAAAAAATGTTCTTAATAAATTAAGGAAGGAAAAAATGAAAGCAGTACCTTTAGTATGGGTAATAATCACCACCCAAATCTAAGATTTTTCTGCCATCGTTTTGATAGTTTTTCAAAGCCTTCAGCCCGGAAACTTAGTGCCCATGAGTCCAAATACAAATCAACCTCATTTCAGATGTCCTCTGCAGAATGGAAGATGGCACCAGCAAGATGTAGCTGTAGGTTTGAAAAAGGGTAGAAGTCTGAAGGAGCGATGTCAGGGCTATATGGTGGGTGTGACAAAAGATCCCATTCGAATCCATTCAGAGTCCAGCTGGTGATTGCAGGCACATATGGTCTTGCATTGTCTTGATGGAACATCACCTTTTAGCGCCGGAACTCAGTTTGACATTTTGCCTTGATAGCAGCGTCAACATTGACTAGCATTTTTGTGCGCGCCTTACTGTTGAACGTTTTTACCTTTTTCTAGATACTCTTTGTGGATAAAACCATGGCAGTCCAACCAGATACAAAACATGATCTTTTTGCTAGTCAAATTGCACTTTGAGATGCTCACGGAGTGCAGACCAACCCCTTTTAGGCCTGTGTAATTGAAGTAAACCCACTTTTCATCACAAGGAGACGATCCAGTCCAGAATATTGTCCTTGCATTGATATTCAAGCAGATTAGTGCAGGCCCAAACAGGTGTCAGCTCATGCAGCACATAGCGATTGAACTTGCACGTCAAGTTTATGTTATGCATAGTACGACTAATGGACATGGCCCTAATGTCTAACTCCCTAGAAAGTTCTTCAATGGTTGCATACTGATCTTCTTCCACAGGTTCTCGCAAGCGGGCCTCATCAACATCAGTAGGCCAGCCAGGGCTCTCTGCTTCTTAAATGTCATAATCCTTGTTTTTGAACTTTCAGTACCAAACCTTCTCAGTGTCATATCATACAACATTAGTACCTAAAGCTGTACCCATAATTTGGTGACATTCTGTAGCTGACTTTTTGTAGCAGAACTGGAAGTAAATGAGGGTTCTAATCTCGTAACATGATAGTTCCATTTCAGATGCCTTACACTTAATGGTAGCGATATTATTTTACAGATTTCATAACACAGTGTTCTAAAACAAGTTTCTTTCTTACAAATGCCAAAAATCATTTGTCAAAATATGGTTAAACATGCTAGCATAAACTGTTTGTGCAGACGATATTTGCAGTGGTGGGAAACTTTCATTAAAACGCAATATTTCTCCCAATAAATAGACATTGTTGCCAATATATGATGATCTTTAATTTGTCTCTGTATTATAAAAGTATGTTGCTGAATACTGAAGTTAATCATTTAGAAAGTCACTTTATCCAAGTGTTTCAACAATACTTTTTAATTTTGTCAAATGAATTGCAAGTCTCTTTGTGTACTTTTCTTTTTCAAACTGTAATATATTTTTTAATATTCTGATGTTATTCTTTGTATACCATTTTATGTTAAAAAAAGAAAAAAAAATACATGGTAGGTATGTAAAATATGGCATTAAAATCACTTATTAATTACAGAAACATAACTCATTTTACTAAAGAATATCAAACTGAGTAAATTGAAGATCTTTGACTAAGAACTAGCTGTACGCAAGCCACATGCAAGACAAAATATTTCTCTTAGTGGTAACTCTCTCAAGGTGATTGGAAGATACACACATGTTAACAGAACCTAATCAAATGAAATGAACATAATATTCCAAAATTTTTATTCTGCTGAAGAGGTTTCTAAGAATGAAAATGCAGAACAAACATTGGATCTTTTAAAACTGAACTTTGTTTTGAGCTGATTTATAAGTTAAAATAAGTAAATAGCAATACAGATTTAATTTTAGGATGTGGACATAGTTGATATTAGTTTTACCTAAGAGAAAAAAATGGAATAACCTTATGATTTTTTAATTTTTAAAATTATTTTACATATTCTGATTTAAAAAACTTTTAATAGCAAGATTTTTATCAAAGTATTATGCTATAAATTCTCAGACTGAATTTTTTTCCTTTAAATTTTTAAAAATATGTCTGTTTTAAATATTTTTCAAGACATATTTAATAAGCATACACTATGCATAGATGTAAAAGCTTTAAATTTGTCCAGTGTTTTCACCCATCGTATGAACACTTTGTCTACATCTTTCTAGTGTTTCACCGTGGCAACACTTCTCTTTTCCCACTTGCATCCAATTCCTTTTTTGCTTTCTTTTAAGTTGCGATTTTCTGAATTTTACGGAGCTACAGTCAAAAGTCGTTAATCCGGACTCGTCGGGACTTCGGCGATTCCGGATTATCGATTTTTCCGGATTATAGATCATCAGTTTAAATCTGGTAAGATAGCATGCAGAAATTATAAAATTTAAAATATGAAACCGTAATTTATGAAATAAAGAACAATTATGATCTAAAGAGTATCAAAATTTACAAAAAAAAAAAAAAAGCTTAATATTTATTTGTTTACTTTATTAAACATTTCTTTCAATATAAGTTGTTTAAGTTGCTTCGTTTTTTATGTTATAATACATTCTCTTTAATTCTATAAACAGACATAATTTCTTGTTCAGTTACAAAGTTCCGCTGTTCAAGTCCTATAATTGCTGTGTCGAGAATACCGACTAATTTGTCAATCGAAATTTTTTCGTTTTCAATAACCTCTGTGTCACTTTCTTCGCTATCGGAAGCGAATTATAATGATGAGGCATTTGATTTAAATCATATCAAACACAGAGTACATAGAGATGAAATACTACATTTATTAAGGAATTATAAGCCCAATAAAATAAAAATATCTGCCCTGAAGATAAGGATAGTACTGACAGATCAGTTTCCAATTAATTGCGCTTAAAATGCGTCAACGCGACGTATGCGCAGAAAGTTTCTAGCCCCTTGAGGTCTGAATTATAGATCATTCCAGATTATGGATGTCCGAATTAATGACTTTTGACTGTATTTGCATTTATCAGTGAAGTTTTATAAAAGCATAAGTATGCTCTTCAACTGCATTCTTATTATTCCAAGTTATTGACTGCAAGATTATATTTTGTTTCTTTTTTGTTAATCCAAACTATATATAATGAATTATTTACTCAGCATACATTTCTGAAACATGAAATAGGGAAAAATTTGTTTATCCTTCTGTATATACATGATTCTGAACATTTTGCATATAATGTGTTAAGAGCTATATCAGTAATTATAATGCTTAAAATATTTTATTTATTTGTAATTTCTTGATTTCCCCCCTCTAGGTTGATTTCAGCAATAAACTTTATCTGGCACCACTTACAACAGTGAGTATTCATTTAATTCTGTTTAACTGAATTTTAATCCACTTTGTTTTCCCTCAGATAATATCAGATTCAGGTATCTGATTACCTTGGTCATTTCAAAATAATGTAAGTGCTTTTAGAAATTGGGCTATATTTTGCAAACATTTTGTAAGCTTTCTTGGCAGCATATTAAAGAGAATGAATTAAGTTTTATTGATGAAAAAAAGCATCAACAAATATAAGTAATAGATAACATGTAAGTATTTAAGCACTTACTTAATGCAATCGCCTTGGTACAATTGGGACAGTTTTTTGCAGCTAAAAAGGAAAAATCTATTTATCGAGTGCAGTTTGGTGACTTTCACATTTTTATAAAGCTTCCCAAACTATCGATATTTATCGTAAGTTAGCAACATATGAAAAGTTAACATCCTTGAACAATTTAAAATACAAATTTTAATTGTTAAATAATGATTATATGATACATTAAAATATAAGCACTTACATTTCCCTCCAAATCTTTTTTTTTTTTTTTTTGTTTGTGTGTGTGTGTGCTAGCTATTCGTCTTCGTAAGTACATCTTTTTATTCTTCTGTCATCAATAGATGTGGTGCACCTTTTTCGGCCTTTTCCTTCTTTGTTTTTTATTGAATTGGTCTCCTGATATCGTAAACAAAACTTTCTGTCTCCAGATGTAGTCACTGAACCACCCACCTGTCTTGCAATTTCAGCATAGGAAGGACCACTTTCTGGTAACACAATAATATTACATCTCTTTCTAGGTGTCCAATCTACTCTTTTATTTGATGTCATTGCTTCTTGACTGAATATTAAAAATTTTACAAAAATTCCTACTTGTAATTGCAGTGTATAAGAAAGAGGTCCTCCTTCTACAGAACAAAGCAAAATAATGAATTGTTTCAAGTGTAAACATGATGTCAGCTTCTACTGGCAGATATTAATTTTTGATTGGTTCTCAGAACAAGAACAGTGATTGGCCAGGAAAGCTAGACATTGCAAACCACTTCATAACTGTGTTTTTTATTTATATTATAGTACATATAACTTTTTTGCATTGCAAATAATTGAATTTTGTGTTTTGTATTGAATTCAGTAATAAATTCTCTTTAAAATGATATATTCAAGTTTGCATTTTGCAAAACGTAACATTTTCTGTAAGCATACAAAGTTTAAAAACATAAAAATTTCCAAAAGTGTCCACAGTTTTGGCCACCACTGTATATGTATACACAGGATGTTTCACAGGGTACAGTGAAACTTTAAGTTGAATAACTCTTCAATGGGTGGAGCTAGTGACATAAAATTGCATATGCATGTTTTGGGACCCAAAGGAAACTTATTTACGGGTTCTGGTTAGTTTTGAAGAATATTTTGTTTTCGCCAAAATGTACTGATACTCAATTAGAGTGTATTTTTTTTAGTCAGAATGTTTTATCTTTGTGTTTAGAAATCTGCAGAAGTACACAGGAAGTGTCCTTTAAAATTAGGCCAAAGCCTTCTTCAAGCATGTTAGAAGCATTAATTGCAAAGTGTGAATGAACAGGTTCAGCTGCTGAGGACAAAGTGGGCATGAAGACCAAATAAAAGACAGAAAGGATACCCGAAAACAATACAGGAGAAAAAGCTATCAATATCAGCTTGACACTTGGCTCAAAAACTTGAGGTCAGTGCAGCCACAGCTCAAAGAATAGCCCACATAGATCTTGACATTTTTCTTTAAAAATTTCATTTAGGACAGCCTCTTTGCCCAAACTGAAAAAAGGACTGGAGTTCACCAACATCATATACGAAAGGATTGACACTGGTTTTGACTGAGTTCATATCACTTTTTCACAGACACACATCTGGCTGAATGGATATGTTAATAATCAAAATTATTGGATTTAGGGCAGAAAGAAGCCAGATTTTGTAGTTGTCAAGCCTCTTCATCCATAAAAGGTGTGGTTCGTGTGCTGATGCTATTTTGGGTAAATATTTTTTAGTCCAAGCAATGATTCTGATCGTCATCTCAACTTTTTGAGAGTGAGGTTCATTCCTGATGCCTACAACAAACACTGAATTCAAAAAACATAGTTTAGGAGGAGGAGCTCCTCCACACTCAACAGGAAGAAGTCACTATGATAATTGTGTCATTGCAAGAGGCATCTCGAATTGCTTTGGCAATGGACTTTTTTGACCCCCTATAGACCTAATTTATCACCATTGGAGAATCAAGTCTAGAGAGAGAAGCCACAGAAGAGCTGAATACAGTGATAACAAGTGTGACATGGACAATTCCAACAGACTAACTCAAGCAGGTTATCGTGAATTGCAACCAGAGACTTAGTTTTGTTGTCTCATCAGATGGCGAAAATTTTGAAAAATTCATTTTTTAATTTCCTACATTCTCTTGTGCAAATCCCGAAAACTTGAAATGTAAATCTTTTTCTGTTCAAAAGCTATTCAATGTTTGTTTGTTTTTTTCCTTCTTTACCTTGTGAAGCAGCCTGTATATATGCATATATACTTGCTATGCGATTTGCTTTCACATCTGTAAATTTAGGCAAACTCTGAACTGAATTCAGTCCACATCAATAAAAAAAATCTTCGTAATAACCTTTTTGGATAATATATATATATATATATATATATATTGTGATCTCTTATAATATATATATATGTAATAATAAAATTCCATAGTCAAAAATACACTTAAAATTCTAACTGTATGTTCTTTTCATTTTTAATGGCAACAGTCTCTTATTTGAAAGTATGTGGAATTAAATCCACAGCCCTGTAGTCAAGTTGTTTTTCCCGCCTTTTCTACACGTACAGTTATAGAATGTTATGGAGATATTTAAAGCGAACTGGAATGGCTGACGTCATTTCTTGGAAGCTCCGCCTTTTCTGAGGCTATAAAAAAACTCACAAAGGAATATCGGGGTCTTTTCGTTAATATAATGATGCAGTAAACTTCATACAAAAAGTTATTAGTAATTCCTTTTTATTTACTCTGGAAATAGGATTATTGTAACTGCTATTTCTCCTGACCAATAATAAATGGATCCTGTTTTTTAAACTTATCGTCTGATAATTTAAGCTACGACTACATCTATGATTCTTCAACAATCTATTTATTCCGGACAAAAGCTGGTACATCATATATATACAGTCAAAAGTCTTTAATCCGGACTCGTCGGGACTTCGGCGATTCCGGATTATAGATCATCAGTTTAAATATGGTAAAATGGCATGCAGAAATTATAAAATTAAAAATATGAAACGGTAATTTATGAAATAAAGAGCAATTATGATCTAAAGGGTATCACAATTTACAAAAAAAGAAGCTTAATATTTATTTGTTACTTTATTAAACATTTCTTTCAACGCGCGCATGCATAAAGCATACATTACGCATAGTCGAAATTAGAAAATTGCAACCAGAAAACTATTTGATATGTATTCGTGTTATTTATAATGTCGAGGAATTTGATTTAAATCATATCAAAGACGGAGTACATCGAGATGAAATACTACATTTAGTAAGGAATTATAAGCCGAATAAAATAAAGCATCTGCCTTGAAGATAAGGATAGTGCTGACATATCAACTTCCAATTCTTTCCTCGCCGCAACGTTGCCCCCCCCCCCCCGCAGAGCAGCGTGAAATTCATAAACAGATTTCGGAATGGTTAGAGAAACAAAGGATATGTCTTTATCCATTTTTTGCAGCAATTCCACTTTTTGTTTGATGGACATCGAAACATTCTTTCCCTTTGTAGATCCCAGCATCGGAAATATTATTTGACATAATCAAAAGTTCCAACTTACTTTTATGAAATTGCTCTAACAGTTTGCAAAAAATAATAAGCCGGATCCAATTCGAAGATTAAGGAACAACGCAATCTGCAACATTAACTGAAATAGATAATTAAATAATTTTCATATAGCTTATACCGTCCGTTATACATTAAACGCGCATGCGTAAACGTATTACGCACTTGCGTACACGTATATGCGCATGCGTAAACATATTACGCGCATGCGTCAATTGACACATGCGCAGAAAGTTTGTAGCTTTGAGGTCCGGATTAACAACTTTTGACTGTATATATATTCTAACCTCTTTAGCAATATATATAATATATATATATATATATATATATAATATAAGAATGCAAATTAGGCTAGTAACTTTATATAGGAAATAAAACTGTTTATATTAATAGTATAATGGTGCAACATATGAAAAATAAATAACATGAATATGGAATAGGTTCAAAAATCAGTTTTTCTTTCAACTGGTTTTTCCCACTGTGGAAGAAAACCTAAAACTGCTAACTCTTATATCCATGGTGTTAAATTTTTACATTATTTATTGTATTATGACTTCTTCAACCTCTATGTTAATATATTCTTATTCTAAATAATAATTCATTTCAGGTTGGTAATTTACCATTTAGGCGAATATGTAAAGAATTTGGTGCAGATATCACGTGCTCAGAGATGACTTTAGCATTAAGTCTTCTGCAAGGGCAGCTGTCAGAATGGGCTTTATTAAGAAGACATCATACAGAACATGTTTTTGGTATTCAGGTAAAGAAAACTGAGATTTATTGTAAATCAAAAGTTTATTTTTAATGCATTTAAAAATTATTCTTCTGAAAAATATTCATAATTATTCCAAATTTGTTGAGAAATATTTATTGGTAATCTTCTAGTATTGGGATTGTATTCAGAAATGTATGAATGTACACACATGTGTGTGTATGTTTGTCCATACATATGTACACTGCGCCAAAAAAAAAGGGGGACAGTTCTATATCTCCAGTTTTACTGGGCCGATTGACTAAATTCAAATTACGTTTTTCATGTCTCGAAAGCACTTAGGATATATATTAGATTTATATATAGCATTGCTCTAACATAGGTATTTTTACACAAAACGGACTTTAACATACCAATTTTTTTCCATATTTCGATTCTACGACTCAAATTATGCCTAAATGTTAAATTTTGTAAAATTGGGTGCGAAATTTATGAAGAAATTCAAAAACTTATCTTTAATATATGGCAACCAATTTTCCTTTCTCTTCTATTGTGCATGAACGGGAAAAAAGTCACATTGTTTCTTCTTCAAAATAATTTTAGCAAATTGTCTAAACCTCACTTGATGTTTTATTGCTTTCAACAAATATGCCAAATTTCAAAACGCGCCAATTTATAACTTCACGTATATATTCGGAAATTTTGAATAATAAATTGTAATTTTTTGCAGGTATGCTTAGAAATGCGTCTTCTTTAATATGATGGTAAAAATTTTATAGATTATAATTCAATTTTTTTTTTGGAAAATTTATAAAAGTTTTAGGGAAAAAATGGTATGTTATTTCAGAAAAAGTCCGATTTTGCGACAAAATACCAATGTTAGAACAATGCTATATATAAATCGTAATACATATCTTAAGTCGCACTTTCGAGAAATGGAAAACGCAAGTTGAATTTCATCAATTGGCCTAGTAGAATGGGAGATGTAGAACACCTTTTTTTTTTTTTTTTTTTTTTTTTTTTGTGCAGGGTACAAACATACATATGCATATGCATGTACATACATATACACTGAAGTGACAAAAGTCATGGGATAGCAATATGCAAATATACTGATGGCAGTAGCATCGCGTAGAAAATGCATAAATGCGAAGTGCTTTGGCAGGGCTTTCATTTGTGTTCAAGTTATTCACGTGAAGAGGCTTTGACATGATTATCGCCGCACGACTAGAATTAACAGACTTTGAACACGGAATGGTAGTTGGAGCTAGTAGGTCATTCCATTTCGGATATCGTCAGGGAATTCAACATTCCGAGATCCACCGTGTCAAGAGTGTGCCGAGAGTATCTAATTTCAGGCATAACATCCCATCATGGACAACGCAGTGGCCGACCACCTGCACTTAACGGCTGTTTTTACATGTTCTGGGCTGTTTTTACATGACATGGACCTGGTCCTCTGGTGCAACTGAATCGATCATTGACTGGAAATGGATACCTTCAGCTACTTGGAGATCACTTACAGCCTTTCATGGACTTCATGTACGCAAACAACGATGGGATTTTTATGGATGACAATGCGCCATGTCACCAGGCCACAATTGCTCGTGATTGGTTAGAAGAACATTCCGGACAATTCCAGCGAATGATCTGGCCACCTAGATCGCCCGACATGAATCCCATCGAAAATTCATGGGACATCATCGAGAGGTCATTTCTTGCCAAAAACCCTGCATCGTCAACACTTTCACAATTATGGACGTCTATAGAGGCAGCACGGCTCAATATTCCTGCAGGGGACTTACAACGACTTGTTGAGTCCATGCCACGTCGAGTAGCTGCACTTCGCCGGGCAAAAGGAGGACCAACAAAATATTAGGAGGTATCCCATGACTTTTGTCACTTCAGTGTATACATGCCTACATAAACATGTACATCGATACACACATGCATACATACATGTGAGAAAAATAAAGAATATACAGTCAAAAGTCGTTAATCCAGACTCGTCGGGACTTCGGCGATTCCGGATTATCGATTTTTCCAGATTATAGATCATCAGTTTAAATCTGGTAAGATGGCAAGCAGAAATTATAAAATTAAAAATATGAAAACATAATTTATGAAATAAAGAACAATTATGATCTAAATGGTATCAAAATTTACCAAAAAAAAAAAAAAAGCTTAATATTTATTTGTTTACTTTATTAAACATTTCTTTCAATGTAAGTTGTTTGCTTTGTTTTATGTGATAATACTTTCTCTTTAATTCTATAAACAGACATAATTTCTTGTTCAGTTACAGAGTTCTGCTGTTCAAGTCCTATAATTGCTGTGTCGAAAATACCCACTAATTTGTCAATCAAAATTTTTTCGTTTTCAATAACTTCTGTGTCACTTTCTTCACTATCGGAAGCAAATTATAATGACGAGGAATTTGATTTAAATCATATCAAAGACGGAATACATCAAGATGAAATACTACATTTAGTAAGGAATTATAAGCCAAATAAAATGAAAACATCTGCCCTGAAGATGAGGATAGTGCTGACAGATCAACTTCCAATTTATTGCGTGCCGCGGCGTTGAAAACATCTGCCCTTAAGATACGGATAGTGCTGACAGATCAACTTCCAATTCATTGCGCGCCGTCCCCCTTCCATCCCCCGCCGCAGAGCAGCGTGAAATTGATAAACAGATTTTGGAATGGTTAGGTCATTTTTTGCAGCAATTCAACTTTTCTTTAATGGACTTTGAACATACTTTCGCTTTGGTGGATCTTTTACATATTGGTAAATATATATCGGAAATTCTATTTGACATAATCGAAAGTTCAAGCTTACTTTAAAATTGCTCTAACAGTCTGCAAAAAATAATAAGCCGGATCCAATTCGAAGATTAAGGAACAACGTTGAAGGAGTACCAGTTGGGTCGATTTTACCACTATAAGTATTGCTTCCCTTGAAATCAAACAAGGTAGGATCATACTGAATATTATGTTCAGTGCAATACCTTTCTAAATCATTTGGTGATCGTAGTCTTTGATTAGACCCCCTCTCAAAATAATACACATCCGTACGAGTGCCGTCTGGCCTTGGAACAGGTTTACGAAGCCAAGTTACCTTGTCTCAATGTAGATTGAGTGTCAGTGCCATTGGTATAGAAGAGGTACACTGGTATCAATTCTTTCCTCTATTTCAGGAAAATAGCCAACTGGAGTATCAGTAGATTGGAACTCGTACCCTCTTCTTCAGATTCCAAATCAGGAAGGGTGCCCAGTGCAGCTCCACTGCCAACTTCTCTGCATTCCAATCGACTCTTTAAAAGTAGCATTTAGGGTTTCTACTACCTTTTTGTTCATTTTCCAACCAAATCTTGTACCCTTTTGTTCGTACACTGTATCCAATCAATCGGCCCTTTCGTTGCCTTTGGATCAAGCTTAGAATTTCTTTTAGCCTTTTGGAATTCCCACATAGGCAATCATTCCAAATGCCTTAAGGTGACGTACTGATGGTTTCCGCTTAGTGTATACAATTTGAATGGGGTTCTATCTTGAGCCCTTTATGACAAATTCTGTATTAAATGAATATGCAAAATACATTACTGCATCTGACCAAAATTCGGAACTCATTCCACTATCATGTAAGATTGCACGTACATTGTTGAGAGCTGTCTGATTAAATCTCTCACAAACTCCATTCTGTTCTGGAGTATATACATCTGTAAATTCGTGCTTTACACCATTTTTATTACAATATGACCTGAATTGATTCATTATCATATTCTCGCCCATTGTCAGTCCTAAAGTATTTCAATCTAAGGTTGAAAGATCTTTCCGCACGTGCTATATGCCTTTCAAATACTTCAAACACCTGACCTTTCTCCACAATGGGGTACACTACCACACAACGAGAATATTCGTCAATAAAGGAAACGAAATAACGTTCTCCATTCCTACCTGGAATGTTAATAGGTCCCCATACATCAGAAAAAAACCCTTTCAAGCGGCATCTTCACTTGAATACCTTCTAAAGGTCTGTAGGAGATTCTTCTTTGCTTGTTGATTTGGCAGTGTTCACAAAACAAATTAGGTGAGTTCTTTAACACAGGAAGACCTCGAACTGAATGTCTCTTACTAGTCCTGACAATAGCACCATAATTTATATGACCAAACCGACCATGCCATAATTCACTATTGTTATGCTGAACTGTGGATGCCTCAAATTTTACAGAATTGCCCCCCTTTTCACTATTTTCGGGAATACATGATAGTTACTTCCTATCAACTTAGCTTTGTACAAAGTTTCATTTTCATCATCAGTAACTTTAATTTGCCCATTTTTACCATAAAATCTTGCTCCATTGATATCCATCTTAGGTCCAGATATTAAATTTCGTCTCAGTTCAGGTGAGTATAACACATCTTTAAACAAAATAATTCCGATCCCCAAATTTCATTTTAACAGTACCCTTCCCATGAATTGGAAAAGTTACCCCATCAACTAGCTACTAGCATATTCTCATTTTTTCACAGGAGAAAAAGTATCAAACAATTCACGATTTTTACAAAAATGATGAGATGCAGCAGTATCAAAAACTCCAACTATCATCATTTTCTTCCAAATTGTTAACATTAGCTTGAGCTATAAAATGGGACTGAGCATGGGAATTATTTTTACTTTTACTCAACTTGGGTTTATTCTTACACTTAGAAGATGTTTTATTACTACTAGATACAGCTGAGGAAACAGAAGAAGCAGGTAAGGGTGATCTGGAAAAATTACCTCTCATTCTACAGTATTTTAGAATATGACCTGGACGGCCACATTTATAACACTTGAGCCCTTTAATCTGCTTAAATTTGGGTTCACAGTGAGTACTTTGAACTTCTATAGTCTTATTTATCTTAGTTTTCCCTATCTATCTCTCTTAAGTTAAGACGCGTTTCCTCTGCTAGTATTTCAAGTTCAACATTTTTAAAAATGAACTTTTCATCTGGCCACCTCAAAACATTCTGAACTACCTGATCAAATTTATCTGGAAGGAAC